AGGCCCGGAGGCCGGGTGCGAGGGAGCTGCCTCCGTCCCAGCCTCGGCTTGAAGGGGCCTGGGCCGGGCAAGGGTGAGGGACCGCCATCGCGAAGCAGGACAAAGCCCACGGGGTCGGCGCGGACCGGCCGACTCCGTCTGCACAATGCGCTGTGTGCTCGTGTCCGGGCCGCTGAAGGACGGCCGCTGAAGAGGACCTTGGCTTTGCACACTGGCCGGGTGTGCCCTTCGACAGCTCGCTTCACCAGCATGGCCGGCGTCTGGCTGACGGACGTGTCCGAGCTCCGCAGGGGCTGGAGGGGGCGCGGCCGCCGCCCGGGGTGATGGCGGCACTGCGGGAGGGGCAGGCTGGTTTGGGTGGTGGTGTCAGGGACGGCAGCGGTGGCCCTGCGTCTGAGACCCCCCCACGCCGCTGATCTTCCGAGGACGAGCCATCCACCCACCGTGCGGGAAGGTGAGGGAGACCTGGGCTGCCTTCCACTGGGGGGCGGGGAACGGCCTCGCAGACCTATTGTCTGGCCCTTCCGGAGTCTCCCGGTCCCTCTGACTCACCAACGTGAGGTCACAGCCAGGAGATGGCTAAGGGACGTGGGAAGACCCGCCCGCCCCAGTTCCCCGGATAAATGGAGCTGCGGTGACAAGGCTGTCAGCAAAATCGAGGGGCGGGACCAGGTGGAGAGCTGCCCCCAGTCACGCTGGGGCCCCGAGGCTGCTTCCCAGGGCTGTGCCGACCCCCCACCCTGCCATCAGCATGGACGCTGTGCTCCAGCAGAGCCTGACTGGCGCGCGCCTCTAGCCTTCCCCGGGGCCTCGGTGTCAGGCGTCCAGCCTTCTCCTCCCTCCTGCCCCTGACGACCCTCCCCCCCGAGACGTGTGGCCCAGGGAAGTTTCTCCCCACAGCCCGGCAGTGTACCCCCTTCCTCACAACCTGTCCACAGCCCCCCTAAGGCCTCTCGGGAATCGTCAGGTGACACCTTTCTCTCAGTCACCAGGCTGCAGCTACTGAAGGGAAAGGCCTTTGTTTTACCCCAAATCCCTAGAACTTTCTGGTCCTCGAAGCTCAAAACGCTGTTCACTAAGTGAACAGATTTGGGTTCTGCTTCAAGCAGAGTCGTTTTGCATGAGAGTTGGGGGGTCGAGGCGGCGAGTCGGGAGTTACCGGGAGCCCGACGAGACCACCACACTGAGAGAAGCCCGGTCTCCCAGCCCAGCCTCGCTGCTGCTCCCATTCGCTGGGTCCACAAGCACCGAGCGACGTGGGCAGGGGACAACCCGGCATCTTCCCACCGTGTTTTGTCCCCACTGTCGGTGGGAGCGATGGGGCGACAGGCGGTCAGAGAAGCCGAGGGCGGCCCAGCGCCCCCAGGAGGACACGGGCCGCAGCCCCAGTTAGAGATTAAAAAGCAAGGAAAAAACAAACACACGGGCCTTCTTCAGACCCAACGCAGTTCCAGAGCGAGACCGCGCTCGGGCCGCAGCCGGCCCGCCCTTCGGCCGCCTGCGCGGCTTCTTGGGGCTCTTTGCAGGAAGGAGCAGTGGGGCTGGAACCCCAGTCTCGGGCGTCACAGCATCCAACTGCCGTCGCTGGACACCAGTGAAGCCGCAGCCGACCCCGCAGGGCCCGGAGCCCAGCCCAGGGACCCCTGAGCACCGACGCCCCCACGCCCCACCGATGCCCCCACACCCCAGGGCCCGGAAGCCACAGAAGGTCCCCTCGGTCAGCAAGGGGGCTGGTCTGTGTGGCGGCAGCATCTCTAGAAAGAGCAGAAACCCACAGTCGCCCAGAGACGGAGAGTGGAAGTGAGGAGGGCGAAGGGCGGGGAACCAGGAAGGGGAGTCCGGGCGGCTCAGGACAGGTCTGTGCCCCCCGGGGTCTGAGGGTGCCCCTCAGAGCCGAGGGCGGGGCCCAGGTCCTCAGCTATGTGAGTGTGGCAGTGTGGGTGTATGTGTGTGTGAAGTGAGTGTGTGTCTCCGTGTGAGTGTGGGAGTGTGTGGCCAAAGCGGGGGCCGGTGCAGGGCAGGGTGACAAGGTACTGAAATAATGGGTTTGGACACACTCACGCCGGGCCTGTGCTGCTCTTTCACGAGCTGTGGTCTTGCCACGTCCAGGCAGCTGGGGTCTCGACCTGCGGACTCTCCCCCTCACGGCCACTTTCTGTCCTGCCTCCAGATCGGGGTGAAAACTGCTTCTCTTGTCTGTGCCGGTAAGAAAAAGAGACCATCCCACCCGCCTGCCACCATCTCTCCTCGTCTGCTGGCCGACCGCTGTGCTCGGCCAAGGCCCAGGCAGGCCCTCCAGCCGCTGCCGGTTTGCTGCAGAGGCTCCGGAGCGGCGAGTCTGCCCGAGGCCCCAGGCGCCGCACGGTCAGCACGGCTGTGTGCACTGCTGACCAAACCTCGGGAAGTTTGAGAGCAGGACCAGCCTCCTGACCACCACCTGGGTTCAGAGTCACCGCCTGGAGCGGCTGCGCGGTGGGAAGGAGCCCGTGCTGGGAGGAGGGAGGGTGCGGGCCAGGCAAGACCCCTCGGGGCTTTGGGGGCACCGTGGGGCCACTGGGGGAGCAGCGCTTCGGTCCCAGAATGACTTATCTCCCAAGTCAGGGTCCAGTAAGACCCAGAAGCCCAGGCTGCCGGCCCAGCAGGAAGCCCGTGCTCCCCTTGCGGGTGGGTTGTGACTCGGAAGCCACGCTCAGGCCTGGGCGGGGCCCTGGGCCAGGGGGAGCTCGGCTCTCAGCTACCCCCCACCCCCATGTCCCACGGAGCGAGAGCCACAAGCTCAGTTCCTCTTGGTTCTCGCTGGAGAATGTCAGCAAATCCCAGTGGTCCAGAATCAATGCCGTCAGCTTGCTGCACGAGCTGCAGAAACAATCGCGGAGGCTCTGCGGGGCTGCCTCACTGACGGCTTCCTGTGCCCACATCTCGCTTCCCCTCAGGAAAGCGGGACGTGCTGGACAGCTTCCCAGCCTCTGTTTGGGGAGGAAGTCCACAGGTCTCCCCCGCCCAGCCCCCGCCCCTCTGCACCGCCGGGAACACCTGCAGCCAAGGCGATGCCATTCCCTTTGTGTGTTTGCCGCTGTCAAAACAGCGGGCGTCCTGCACGGGAAGCTGGGGCCCTCTTCTACGTGACCTCCCGCCCCAGTGCGTGCAGGACGCCCTCGCTGCCTGGGACAGAGCCGGTGCACTGCCGTCCCCGGGGGCTGCCCTTCACTGTCCTCCCAGCAGGTTCTTACACCCACGGGGGTGGGGGGGAGGGCTGCCTGCCCACCGGCCTCGCTCACTCAGCACCGAGCATCCTTGCTGGGCACCGTCCTGCTCCCCAACCCCCTCACCCCCTGCCAGGCATCTGTCTCACAGGACAGCCTTCTGCGGACAAATGACACCCAGGCTGCGGCGCCCCTTGCCCACCTGCTGGGTCCCGGGTTCCCGAGTTGGCACCGCCCCCCGGGGCTACGACAGCTTCCTTCCTGCGCAGCCTCAGGTGCCCCGAGGGGTGGAGAGGGCGCTGTTTGCTCAGATGGATTTTCATCTGCTGCTTAGTATTCATGACCCTGGTTCTGAGAATGAAAACAGGCCTTTGTAATTTCTTCGACAAAAAAAAAAAAAAAAACCAATAAAAATCCACAAATCCATAGGAAACAACCCTGATCGGTACAGTAAGGGAGCCGGCTGCCTCCCTCGCACCCGACACGCCTGCTCTCTGGCGTTGGGAGCGGTGTGGACGAGGGTGCGGGGCAGGAGCGGCTGTGAGCACACGGGTCTGTACGTGAGGACGGACGGACGGCTCGGGGTCGAGAACCCAAGCTCACTCCGAGTCCCTGCTCGGCGTGGCGGGTTCGATGAGAACAAGGCCGCCGTGCGGGCGGGCCCTTCCCCGACTTCCTGACTCACCGCCGACAGGCCCCGCACCAGAGGTGACCACGTCTTGCTCGTCAGTCACTTGCAGGGACCGGTCACTTCAGTCAGAGTGACTCGGAGTCCAGCAGCGGGCCTTCGGGGAGGACACGCGGCTCCTGGCCTTCTCCGCCCGGATGGCTCCATGGGACCCCACCCCCCGCCCATCTCCTCCGAGTCCCCGAAGCCTTCAGTCTCCTTGTAACAAACTCCGGTCTCGGGTCTTCGCCGCGGCCTTTGGATTATTCTAACAACAGTCCACTCCGAAGACGCTGCGTTTGCTCCTCGCGCTGGTTTCTGCCCCCCGTCCCAAGCTCACCTTCTTCTCTGCTGATCTGAAGCCAGTTCTTCGAGGTCCCCACAGAAGTCCTTCCCCAAGAAGAAAGGGCCCCTACCTTCCCCTCCCTGGTCCTAGGGGCGGGTCTGCCTGTGGAGCCACCATGCGCCCCTCCTGCTGCCGGGCACTGGTGCAAGGACACACCTGCCATCAGCTCGACTGGACGTTCCCGGAGGAGCCCACAGTGCACCTTGCAGTCACTGTGTTTACCACAGAGGGGACCCTGCACGGCAGGGCAGCGGGTGGGCCCGTGTCAGCCAGGGAGCCCCTCTCACGATGTTGAAAAGCAGGGACTGCACCCCCCGCCCCTGCAGGCTGCCCTTTCTTTCTCTCCTTAATCCCAACGGCGGGAGGGTCCCCTCCTCGGAGCCCGAGGCTTCCACCTGCCCCGTCAGCTGTTTCTCCCTCAGGCTCCCTCCGCCTCAAGTCTCCTCATCCAGCGACTTCTCCTGCTGTTCCTTGGTCTGTGCGTGCCATTTCCACCTTCTGCCCCAGCTCTCTGCCCCTGCTCTCAGCCGGCCACCCTCTGAACTTGGAGTCCACGGGTCAACCACACAAACCGCCGGCACTTCTGCGTGGCTGTTGATCGCACCGGCCTCTCTGAGATGCCCGATGTGGGGGACCACGTTCTTCCTGAAGCCCCCTGCTTGCCGGCACTTCTCTCCTGCTTGGCCGGAGACGGTGGCAGCGTCCTTCCCGAACCCCCATCCCTGCTCCCCACGCACGTCTGTGACCGACTCCCGGTGACCTCTGAAAAGACACATTTTTCATTTTCACCTATAACTTTACTGATTTGCAAGTCCCGATTACTCAGAGTCGTTAATCACGAATCATGGGAACTCCAATCATCGTATTCGTATCTGTTCTCCAAAAAGGAGGAAGGGGTAAGGATTATCCTACCTGCCGATAACTTTACTGATTTGGATACTCTGGGTCCGTTGGCTCCCTCCCGCCTGGTACAACGTTGACTGTTCCCAATTACTGTCTCAACTGCATCACTATCAAGTTCCGCTGGTCCGCCCGACCGTGGAGCTTCGTCCAGCAAGAAATCTCCAGCAGAAACTTCACAAACCACTTCTGACACGTTCCATCAGTCACAGCACCTTCTCCACACACTGCACAAACCTTTGTTTCAGCTGCATTTTCACCTTTCTTGAAACAGTGAAGCACAATATGCCAAAAATGTTGCTTATGTTCTTCCATCGTCAATACCAAAATGGCTAGACCGAAATTCACCAGTTTTGATGTTTTATAAGTGCATGTTGATATGGCAGCTGTCACCATATGATCTAACAAAATTGTTTCCAATGAAGTTAAAGACAACTAGGTGCCGTCGGAGAGGCTGCAGGCAACCTGCTCTCACACCCGCATCCCAGAGGCAGGCGAGGGAACGGGATTCCGCCCCGGAAATCCCACACGTCACCTCCGAACCCACGCCCGCAGCCAAGACCAGTGCAAACCCCGGTGCCGGCTTGTCTGCTGGTGGCCGTGTGAGTAGCGAAGGCTTTCGGTTTCGTTCCGAAGGGGCAGGGGGCAGTCTGCACAGTTTAGTCGAACATCCCGGGGTGTCGTCCTCGTCAGCAGCCTGTGGCCAGCGCAAGGACGGCTGGAGGCCCTTGTCTTCGAGATGGGGAACGGCGCACGCCCGGCCGCAGGGAACCAGAGGTCAAGGGTAGTGGGTCCACGTCACCGAGACCAGAGAGCATGTGGTGATCTTGTCGCGGTGGCGTAAACTCGCTGAATAAATGCCAACCGGACAGGTGCTGGGCCAGGTCTGCACACGTGTCCATGGCCCTGGGAATGAGGGGACGACAGAGGTGACGAAACTCACCTCCGTGCCAACTGGTCTGGCTGGCCGCTACTTCAGACCAGGACCTGGACACAGGGGTCCGTCCCCGGATCTCGTGCCGTGACGCAGAGTCTGGTTCGGCAGGCATCCCGCCAGGTCCCGTCTGCTTCGCGTTGGGCTTCGAGAGCCCCAGCACCCGCCAGCCAGGTGTCAGCGCACGTTCCCAGGGGTGTGGGGGCCGAGATGGGTCAGGCCTGCGGAGACCCATGCAGAGGCTGGTAGCAGGGGACCGGGTGGGAGGGGCCTCAGCCTGCTGTGCAGGTGCGACCCAGAGAGCAGCGCCACTGTGCAGAGAGAGCAGCAGAGAAGCAGAGCTGAAGGTGACCCCCGAGTTCTACAGTTTACGGGAGCAGGAAATGGGCCCGCTGGGGACGGGAACCACGTTTGGTCAGTGGCCACACAGCTGTGGGCAGCGTGTGGAGCTGATGGGGAGGTGGGTCCGGAGCGGCAGCCAGGACCCCGGGTCCGGTGCCCTCCCCACAGCAGGACACTGAGCGCTGCGTTCTGACAGCTGGTCCCCGGAAGCCAGGAGAGTCTGTCACAAACGTTAACTTCCCAGCAGGTACTCGCAGTGCACGGCCCAGAGAGCTGTCGGAAAGTGTCTGTTCCTGAAGACACAACGTGGAAGATACAGCGATGAAGAGCGACCTGCACAGAACCCAGGACGCATCGCGGAGTCGGCGTGGGCACTGCAGGCCCAGCGGGCAGCCTCAGTGTCGGCCTCTTGCTCATAAAAGCTGACTGAGCAAAGCTATCCAGTGTTAGGCTCTGGCAGGTTGATGTTTGATTCCCGTTAGTAACAATCCGGAGTCACCTCCTCTCCCCAGAACAGAGAGAAGCAATTTAACGGAGCAATCGAACCATCATGGGGTTTAGGTGATACACGAAACAACTTAGATTTAAAATTAAATAATTGAGTGCATGTCTATAGAATGACATTAGAAAAGTCCAATTCAATCTGTGCAAGGCACTCATATGATCCACTTTTAGAAATAAAAGGCCTTGGGAGGCAAAAATTCAACTGAGCTTCCAGCCATGATGGAGGCGTAGGTAGATACACTTCGCTTCCCCACACAACCAAAAGTACAACAACCAAAAACAAAAGACAACCAGAACTGTCAGAAAGTCGAACGGTATGGAAGTCCGACAACCAGGGAGTTAAAGAAGAAACACTCATTCAGACTGGTAAGAGGAGCATGGGGGACTGGGCGGTGAGTCGGAAGCTGGCAGACCCGGTGGCCCCACATTCACACGTGGGTCAGCCGGGCAGACCACGCCGCCCAGGGCTCCAGTGGGGAAATAAGGCCTCAAAACCTCTGGCTATAAAATCCTGCTGGGGTTCTGGCAGTGGGAGAAAGTCCCAGCCTCAGAAGAGAGTTCACTGGGGAGACCCACAGGGTCCTAGAAGGTACACAAACCCACTCACTGGGGTGGTCAGCACCAGAAGAGCCCAATCTGCTTGTGGGCAGTGGGAGAAGTGACCGAAAGTGGGTGAGAGCCGAGCAAGACGCGCTGTTCCCTCTCGGACCCTCCCCCACAGACAGTGCCACAACACAGCCATGTGGGTTGCCCTGCCCTGGTGAACACCTAAGGCTTCACTCCTTACTATGTAACAGGTGCACTGAGACAAAATGGCCCAAATGAAAGAATAGTTCAAAGTTCCAAAATCAGAACTAAGTGACGAAGAGATAACCAACATATCAGATGCACAGTTCAAAACACTGGTAACCAGGATGCTCACAGAAATGATTGAGTATGGTCGCAAAATAGAGGAAAAGGTGAAGGCTATGAAAAATGGAATAATGGAAATTGTACAGGGAACCAACAGTGATGAGAAGGAAACCAGGACTCAAATCAGCAGTTTGGAGCAGAAGGAAGAAATAAACATTCAACCAAAATGGAGTGAAAAAACATAATTTAAAAACATGAGGAGAGGCTTAGGAACCTCTGGGACAACTTTTAGACATTCCAACATGCAAATCATAGTGGTGCCAGAAGGAGAAGAGGAAAAGTAAATTGAAAAGTTATTTTAAAAGATAATGGAGAACTTCCCCAATCTGGCAAAGGAAATAGACTTCCAGGAAATCCAGGAAGCTCAGAGAGTCTCAAAGAAGTTGGACTCAAGGAGGAACACACCAAGGCACATCGTAATTACATTAGCCAAGATTAAAATGAAGGAGAGAATCCTAGAAGCAGCAAGAGATAAGGAGTCAGTTACCTATAAAGGAGTTCCCATCAGACTGTCAGCTGATTTCTCAAAAGAGACCTTATAGACAAGAAGGGGCTGGAAAGAAGTATTCCAAGTATTCGAAGTATGAAAGGCAAGGACCTACCTCCAAGATGACTCTATCCAGCAAAGCTTTCATTTAGGATGAAAGGACAGATAAAGTGCTTCTCAGATAAGGTCAAGTTAAAGGAGCTCATCATCACCAAGAACTTATCATATGAAATGTTAAAGGGACTTATCTAGGAAAAAGAAGATTAAAACTATGAACAGTAAACTGACAACAAACTCACAACTATCAACAAGTGAACCTAAAAAAACAAAAACAAACACAAGCTAAGCAAACAACTAGAACAGGAACAGAATCACAGAAATGGAGAGCACACTGAGATGGAGGAGGGAGAATGGGGAAGGAACAAGGAAGAAGCAGCATGAACAGTAGGTAGAAAACAGACAGGGGGAGGTCAAAAGTAGTGTAGAAAATGGAGAAGCCAAAGAACTATACGTACGACCATGGACGTGAACTAACGGTGCGGCGGGCGGGGGGTGTGGGTGGGGGTGTGCAGGGCAGAGGGGATAAGGGAGGAAAATGGCACAACCGTAATAGCACAATCAATCAAATGTACTTAAAACTCAACTGAATATATTATATTTTGCTCAGATTCACTTTCAGTTTGTTACAGTACATAAAATTATGAGCGAAAATGCTTGTTTCTGAATTTATAAAATATGTGAAACTTGACCAAATAGTTTCTTATGTTTTTTATGAGCTGGGGTCCAAATTCCTTCAGTTTTTTTCTCTCTTCTTGTCAGAATCATAAGTCAAATGACCTCTCTACACTATTACACAAGAAGTGATAAAACCTGGTACTCTCTATACACAAGCAATTCAAGAATTTATAGAGAAACACGGAAGAAAATGTGCTATAAATGTGGGTGAGGAGTTTCCCTTGCACACCAGGCTGGAATCAACTACCTACTGACCATGTCATGTTCGTCATCCTCGTCGTCATCATCATCATTATCATCATGACTCTGCATCTGAGCGCTCCATCTGTCCGTCCATCCATCCATTCACCTGTCCGTCCATGCATCTGTCTGTCCACCCGTCCACCTGCCCATCTGTCCTTCCATCCGCCCAGTAGTTACTGAGCAGGCCGAGGGCAAGTCCCTGTGGTTAAACTAGGGCAGAGATTCAAGAATGAATTGGGATTACAATGTGCCCTCGAGACACTTCTGAGCATGGAATGCTGGGAGTGTTTGGACAAATGGCCCCTTGTCCCTTTCTCTGGGACCCTCGGGAACAAGCCGACCACCCCAGTGAGTGTCAGCAAGGGCTTGCAGGTCCTGCTGGGATAAAGTGTGTCCTTGCTGTGTTTGAGTTCAGAAGGGGCAGTGCTGGTTTTCTCCCGGCACAACTGCACGTACCGAAGAGACACCCTGGACTGTGGGCGGGAGAGCCGTTAGCGCTTCAGTGAATGACGATGACAGACTGGCCCCCAACCCCAGGTTCTGAGACCCAAAGAAGGAAACAGCAGGCTGAGGACCGTGCGCAGACGTGACACAGGAGAAGCATCCCAGGCTCCCAAACAGGGCGCCGCCTTAGTCTGTGAGAGAGCGGATCCGAGGGTGCAGCGTCGTGGGACACGGAGACGGCGCCTGTGATGCGTTTGGGGAATCAAGTTTTCTAACGGCTGTTTGGAGGACCCACAGCTCAGGCACGAGCGACGCCGGGAAAGACTTCTCAGGGGCAGGGAGATGGCTGGAGTTAGTTGCTGAATGCACGGTGGGCTGGGTGGGCGTGCTCTGCCGGTGTCTGCTAAACCTGGACGCG